GTTTGCACCAATCAAAATTTCAAGAAATTTGAGCCTCGGAGTGAAGACATTGACATTTCCTATTAAAACCATCCAAATTCAGACACCCTGTACATACTCCTAGTACATAGAGTAGATATTCACTCAATATTTTATTTTGCTTGCCACCGCTCTTCCACCTCTATATCCTATTCACAATCCGATGTCCACAGGTACCGGTAAATTTATCACCTTTCCCTATCAAATAGCATTGAAAGGTGATGAATTTTACCTGTACCTGTGGACAGCGGATTGTGAATAGATAATATTATATCCGCAGGACTGCGGGGAAATTTGTTCCACCGTTCACTTTGCTGAATAATTATCTTATCAGCCACAATTTCTTTACTAAACCGGTACAACGTTTTAAAGTCCCGATCACACGTATTTTTTCTAGCTTTGTAAAATTTTTCAGAACGCAGGTTAAGATTGAAGAACTCTGCCATAGCACTGCCTTCTACCGAGGGAAAATCGTTACTGAAATATCTTAAAGCAGAAAGTTGAGTCTACTGCATAGCAGACTCTAAAACTATGGAGTAGATTCTTCTGCCGAAGAGCACAAACAATTTTTTATTCATACCAAAAGTGAGAATCTACGCATACCAAATTATACATAGGAGTACCTACTCAAGCGAAATATCTGTTCGTAGTTTTTATTCATACCACGTGGAGTATTTACTCCAAAATTTGGAGTAGAAACTAAATGCTCATTTTTATTCGTACCTACCACCCAATGAGTTTTCTTTATTAGGGATAATGTTACAAATTTGTTAACATTGGAAAAGCCAAAAGTAAGTCCGAAATGAAAGCAAAATACCTAGTTTTCGGGCTTTTACCACTTGCTTTTGGTAAAACCTAGATTTAGCGCGCTTATCCTAGGTTTTACCGAATTTCGGGCATTTACAGTAACATATATATTGGAGGAAAATTCTGCAAATTTGGTCCTCTAACATTCTGATAATACACTAATATCTTTTTCTGTATGGTAACCTGCTGCTTTTGTCTGCTCACTTTGCTTAGAAAAGCTGTCCTCTAGGGCGTTGATTTCAGTAATTAGTTTTTGAATTGTCTTATTTTGCGCCTCAGATTCCCTCACCAAGCTCTTACTATCCATATGGCGACATGTTCTATTTTTGGCCTCATTTGCTTGTGCCATACACGCCGGGTGAAAAAATCCTCCACATTTTAGGCACTCCGTGCTGTGTGTAACATTCTTTTTACAATGTAGGCATTTATTTTTCTCCGTCAAATATTCCGTAGTTGTTTCAGATGAATTAGGCATTTTGAATTTGTTAATTCTTAATAGCCCGGACTATACAGGGTGTCCCACGGTGGATGGCGTATTAGACGTTTATGGAGAACTGAAAAGCGGATCATTTTGAAAATTTGGCAACCGGGATAAACGACCATAATCTACACTTTAAAAATATTTTTGTTTATGCGGTGTTGCCGCTTTTACTCTAAACTAGTGGCACCTTCGCTATTTTAAATAGAACACCCTGTATTTGATTGCATATTTGGATTCTACGTATAATTCTGAGCAGATTTCGTGTGATATACTCTATACCTAAGTTCAACTGTTTTGGAAATATTGACAGTTGAAAATTGACTTTTTGCAACTTTGACAGGCTGTAAAACCTAAACGGTTAATTTTAGAGGAAAACCGATTTTACATTCCTATCTTAGATTTTCATAAACTATCATTTGACACCAACTTTGGACTTAACCGGAGATTAAATTTAATTGGAATTTTCAATCATGGATTAAATTCACAGTTGGTGCCAAATGATAGTTTATAAAAATCTAAGATAGGAATGTAAAATCGGTTTTCCCCTAAAATTAACCGTTCAGGCTTCACAGCCTGTCAAAGTTGCGAAAAGTCAATTTTCAACTGTTAATATTTCCAAAACAGATGAACTTAGGTATAAGGTATATTACATGAAATCTGCCCAGAATTTTAAGTAGAATCTAAATATGCAATCACATACAGGGTGTTCTATTTAAAATAGCGACGTTGCCACTGGTTTAGAGTAGAAGCGGCAACACCGCATAAACCAAAATATTTTTCAAGTGTAAGTTATGGTTGTTGATCCCGGTTGCCAAATTTTCAAAATTATCTGTTTTTTAGTTCTCCATAAACGTCTAATACGCCATCCACTGTGGGACACCCTGTATAAAATATTCAAATAAGGAAGCCCAAGGTTCTTATCGGCAATATAAACAGATGAATACCAATACCGATTGTAAAAAAGAAATTCCGGCACTATTGATGCTGTTATTGTTCACACATAAAAGCCGTAAAAATAATGTTTGGAGAAAATTATTTCTAACCGACGCGACGCGGCAACAGTGTAGGTGTGATTCAGTAGATGTAGCCTTGAAATTATAAATATTTTTAGGTTTTTAATTGTTTTTAGTTGGTTTACCACAATTAATCTGTATTATGTTAACATACGATATTTGAGAGAATAGTTATAGCACTTTTCCGACTTTTAAACTGGGTAAAATATATCAAATTCTGGCTTTTTTGGCACGACCATATTCAACGATGTTTACAATCTTTATATCAATTATGTCTGTATCAAATTCACTTCAAATATTAGTTTTTAAGGTTTAAAGTCAACCCCCATTTTCTGAACCTTGTGTTCAAAAATTCCAAAAAAAATATATGTTTTATGGTTATTGATATACCTACTTTAATCCATAATTTTTTCAAGCAAATTTGACTCGCCATTTTTGAGATATACCTATCGCAAAAACTGAAAAAAAAGTGGTTTTTCACCATTTATTTCAAAACGAATAGATGAAGTTTCCCTTTATTTTTATTACGAACTACTATTGCGATTTTACGCGACATATATTTTTTTCAAATTTTTTGAACTTGTAGTTTTCACGCTACTGCAAGAATAGTTGGAAATACGCCTGTAGCTACACTGTTCAAAAAAAAATCCGACGGATGATCGTTCAAAATTATTTGTGTTGTTCCAAACTACAACCCTGTTTATGTAAAACAGAATAATACTTCGAATTTCCGCAAAAAAAAGAGAAAACTTTCCATCACACAAGTTAGGGCACACTATAGGGGCGACAGTACTGACATCTCGCGTTGCTGTAATAAACTATAGGCCTGACTTTAAACCTTAATAAAAGGCGTGCACCCCACTTTGCTCAACGCAATTTCATTTCTGAAACTATAAGGTCCAAATGAGCAGACATTCCATCTACAGTGTCCGCGGAAAAGTCTGCACCATATGGGAAATTTTTTTATGCTCATCCTTACTTCAAATCGGTTTTTGGCATTACTTACCTCACATCTGTCAAATGCCATTTGAAAATTTCAAACAAGGAAAAGTGGCATTTTTATAAAAAATATGAAAAAATTTTATAAGAAAATATTGTTCCAAATGATATTTAGAGTCTAATTTGTCAGATACAAACTAATTATTTTAGAGGAATGTCATTTGGAACAATATTTTCTTATAAAATTTTTTCATATTTTTCATAAAAATGCCACTTTTCCTTGTTTGAAATTTTCAAATGGCATTTGACAGATGTGAGGTAAGTAATACCAAAAACCGATTTGAAGTAAGGATGAGCATAAAAAAATTTCCCATATGGTGCAGACTTTTCCGCGGGCACTGTATAATAGAAAAAAAGTTAAAAGTTTTCAAAAATCCATGCCAGATAGTGTAATCACCTGTCAAAAGATAAATGTGGAACCGAGGGTATAACCAACCATCAGTGAAGTTAGATGTTTGGAAACATCCCAGTAGGTGGCTTTTTCTGAGCATATTGACAATCAAAAATGTGATTTTTGCAATGCACCTCTCCTCACATTTATTCTACCTCATATTCACAAATCACATAAACACGCATAATCCATGAGTGAAAGGTTGGAGCAAAAAATTCCGAGGTTGGTATTTTAGATACATCAGAAATTGGCATTAGAAAGTTTCAATTAGGTTTTTATTCTTTGTTGTTAAATGTGAAACAAGCAAATTACCAGATTTGATCACCAACACCTTACAATTCAACAATACCTACTATTATATTGAAAAAGTAGCCCATGACTCAAAGTGGAATTGAAATTTAATTTCTTCCACAAGTATATCTTTATTGGAATCAAAAAGCCCTACCAGTTTCGAAACTAGAAAGTTTCATTTTCAGGTGCAAAAAAAATACTTAATTTAAATCAGCTCAGATAGTCAAAAAAAGGTGCATAGTCAAATAAATCGCCAGAGTTAGCATTGAAAAGTAATTAAAAGTAATTTTTCTACTATAGCTGAAACCAATAGTTATTGGTACAAAATATCTTGGTATAAAATATAGATAGAAATCTGCAATGCAATTTGATAAGATTTCGTAGGTATGTACAAAGTTTATAAACTAGAAAATATTGCATATTATTAGTATCACATCTTAATCCCTTAGTTGAATGAGTTATCTTCAGTTCTGGTTCTGGTAGTCTGACTTTATAATTAATATCTACCTATTAAAAATTCTTAAAAGTTTTTTAAAATCCTCTATACAATCTCTTTGTTCTAGGCTAGCATTGAGGATATGCCATGGACGCAGAACTTATGGGAGAAAGTTGAGCAGCATAGCAAAAAAGGCTTTCTGAACTGGTGTAAAATTGTAGCCGGTAACAAAGGCGAAGATGTCGTTATGTGGAATAACGAGTATCTCAGGTCGGTCGATGAGTTTTTTTGCGATATGGTGGCCGAAATGTCGCAAACTCATTCGCGTCAACCATCAACAAAATGCAAGAGTTTTTCACTCGACTAGAAAGGGCGTGCATCGAACTCCACCAACCATTGCCTGAAATTAAGGAAGAAGGTTTAAGCCTTTACGAAGCCCAGCAAGAATTATTGAAATACGTGAATAAGTGAGTTGTTAAAAAAATTAATTTACTTATTATATTTTTTTTATTAAATTAATTTAGATATGAAGCTGTCGTTAATGCTAAGAAACTAGCTCTGGAAAATCTTAACAAAAAACAAATACAATTATGCAATTGATTTGAAGTACCCCCCATTGCCTACCCAAGCACAGTTTGATAAATTGGAAGCAGAAAAGTTTGAACGCGAGGAAAAATTCGTAAATTTGAAACACGAAATCACAGAAATCGTTGATGAAATCAAATACAAACCCAATAGCGACTTTGAAAGAGAGGTTTGATTTTTGTAACTTTTTTTTTTTTTAATAAACTTTGATAAATATTTTTTCAATAGGTATTGTCTTCAGATGATATGATGTTGAGTAACCAGAATCTAAAAATGCTGGAGTTTTTCGCCAAGTGTATGAAAGAGCTCAAACTATCCACCGAAGAAGAAGTGTCCCATTTAAGAACAAGAATTGAAGATCTATGGAAAATGTTGGATATCGAGTTAATAGATAGAGATGAATTTAGAAGTCATTATTGTACTAGTAGATATATTATAGGTAGGAAAAGGTAACTAGCGACAGATGTCGAAACTTGACAGAAAGTAATAAAGTGAGCTTCAAATATAGAGTATCTTCTATTCGTCGGTAAATATGCAGTATAGCCCGGTCACCTAAAATGGTATTTTTTTGAATAAGAATCGTTTGTTTAACGTTCAAATAGTGCATTTTGAAGAAAATTTTCCAGCGGAAATCTTTAATTTAAAAATTACAAATTAAAATTATATTGAAAATACTCAAAAAAATAGGTATTTTAGATGACCGGGCTATATTGCACTTTATCCCCTAAATAAATATGCAGTATAGCCCGGTCACCTAAAATGGTATTTTTTTTGAATAAGAATCGTTTTTATTAAACGTTCAAATAGGGCATTTTGAAGAAAATTTTCTAGCGGAAATCTTTAATTCAAAAATTACAAATTAAAATTATATTGAAAATATTCATTTTTTTTAAATTTTAGGTGACCGGGCTATACTGCACTTTATCCCCTAAATAAATATGCAGTATAGCCCGGTCACCTAAAATAGTATTTTTTTGAATAAGAATCGTTTGTTTAACGTTGAAATAAAGCATTTTGAAGTGAATGTTTCAGCGGAAATCTTCAATTGAAAAGTTAAAAATTAAAATTGTACTGAAAATACTTTTTATTTGCAACCAAGCTATAATGCACTTTTTCCCCTAAATAAAAATGCAGTATAGCCGGTCACCTAAAGAGTTTTTTATTTAATTAAGAAAATGCAGATTAACCCAAACTAACCCGTCCGTATAGTGCTAGTAGTCTGCATAAGTGAAATACTGTTTATTTTTAACCAACCTATACTACTGCTCTTTACCCCCTAAATAAATATGCAGTAGGTATAGCCCGGTCAACGAAAATATTTTTTTTAAATTCAAAATCGTTTGTTTAACATCCAAATAGTGAATTTTAAATAAAATTTTCTAAAGGAAATTTTTAATTGAAAAATTACACTGACAATAAATTCTTAGAATTTATACGATATTGGTTTAAAATGCCTACCTACTAAAGATATGTTATCACTATGTTTAAATAAAGTTCTGTTTATTTCTGTAAATACAATTTTTTTTTAAATCTTGCAAACCTTAACATGTCGAAGTTGTCCCACTCTCCCCTACTGCATATTTATTTAGGGCCGAAAGTGCAGTATAGGTCAGTTACAAATAAACAGTATTTTACTTCTGCGGACTAGCTAGCACTATATGGACGGGTTAGTAAGAGTTAGTTTGATTTAATCTGCATTTTCTTAATTAAATAAAAAACACTTTAGGTTTCCGGGCTATACTGCATATTTATTTAGGGAAAAAGTGCATTATAGCTCGGTTACAAATAAATAGTATTTTCAGTACAATTTTAATTTGTAATTTTTCAATTAAAGATTTTCAGATTTCCGGTGAAAAATTTTCTTTGAAATGCACTATTTGGATGTTTAACAAACAAATTTTAATGGAAAAAAAACATTCTAGGTGACCGGGCTATACTGCATATTTATTTAGGGGATAAAGTGCAGTATAGCCCGGTCACCTAAAATACCCATTTTTTCGAGTATTTTCAATATGATTTTAATTTGTAATTTTTAAATTAGAGATTTCCGCTGGAAAATTTTCTTCAAAATGCCCTATTTGAACGTTTAATAAAAACGATTCTTATTCAAAAAAATACCATTTTAGGTGACCGGGCTATACTGCACTTTTACCTATTCGTCTTCTTACAATTATACACGGAAAGAAATTTTGGATACTATTAATCCAGTAGGGTAGTATTACAATCAAATTTTTGATCAATATAGCGTCAATCTAAATTTAGATTAATATCGATAAATGATTGGATTGATTTACTTGTTAAGCTAAAATCTGCTAAAATATATCAAACCATGATAAGTAGCAGCAAATGAGTTCCAATAAATAACAACCAAAATTTGATTATTATTAGCAAAAATAAAATTAAATTTGTCTAGGATATTCCTGAATATAATTTATATATTCTTAAATTTAGCTAAGCGTTGAAGAATAGTATCAAGCAATTTTTGGATCAGTTCAAGTTGATTGTAGATAATATTTGCTAAATATATGATTGATTTTAGAAAAAGATATGAGGAAAGATAGCAAATTGACAAATAATTAAGATAAAATTTATCAAATAATTTGATTACTTCTTGCAATATTTTGATGTTATATATCTAATAATTGAGTGCAACTTATCAAATCTTTTGATTATGTGCATTCAATATTTGATTGCTGGCCAATTGATTTTCGTAATTAGCGGTGGTGGTGGGAAAATAGTAACAATAAAATGAGATTTCGGTTTAATTATTATTTATTCTGCATTCGTTTACAATGTTGAATACTAAATTATTATTATCTCCTATTAACTTAACCTAAATAACCTTCTCAAAAGGAATACAATTTATACCTTATAGTTTATAGATAATAAGAAAATAATAACAGCCGTATGCAACATCCTCTTTCAACTTTAAAAGCGACTTTGAAAGTCAATTGCTTAACAATAATTTTTTTTTTAAAAGTGACAAAATAGGCTAAAAGTGCTTTTAAAATTAAAAGATGATGTTGCATACGGCTATAAGTCTTTAGTGTAAAAGCAAATTAATCAGCTTACAGGAACCAAATTAAAAATATAAATTTCCTTGTATATAAATAAAAAACACAATTCCAAAACTCCGTAACACCCTATGTTATTAGTAGGTTTTTTTTACAAAAATACAGATGAAATGTTCATTTCTACTGGAAATTTCAATTTCTCTCCCATAAAGAAACAAATATCACAAATATCACTCACAAAACTCAATAATTTATTATTGCCAGTTAGCACTGCGTGGCACTACGAGTACGGGTGCGAGAGTACGAAAAAATACACAAAGACAACTTAGACAAGTTTTTTCTGTGGACCGAGTGCGGCTTGCACTCCACATAAACAGGAGGGACGTTCTTCCTCCAACAAAACACCACACACTAAAATATTTTCAAATGAAAAATAACTCAAGTAGCCAAAACCGTTAGAAAAACTTATAGGTATTTGCTTATGATTTACTCCTTATATTATAGATTAAGCCAAATAATGGCTCGATTCTAGAAGAGTTTTATTAATTTGGTCAAATATTTGATAATCGTAGCAAAAATTGGATAGAAATAGTTATATATTTGATTGTTTTCAGTTCACTGTTTTTTTCTGTTTTCTAAATTTCAGTAAATTCTATGAATAACTTAATCCAGACAGGAATACATTAATTTAAAATATCATAGATATTAAGCATTTATTTTATTGATCCCGTCAAAACCATATAGATCAAAAGTAAATTAATGCCCATATTATTCTGTGTTGTAACCTAAAATATTTTAAATCAATGTACCTAGTAATTCATTCCTAATTGATTTGATTTGGAAATGTATAGATCTGTGAAATATGTAAAAAATTTGACTATGATGCTTGTTGAGATAACTTTGATAGAACTTATTTTACCAGACACTAGGAATCTCAATTTCTCAAATTGATCTTGTTGATAAATCAGATATTATCCTTTAGTTAAACTATTATCAAATACAGCTAAAATAATATAATCTAAGAGTTAATTTGAGCAAATTTCTTGCAAAAATTAATCATGGGAGGTACATCAATTCGATTTTTAATGTTTGATTGATTTAAGAAAAGCGTTTTCTGTAATCAATCTAAATTTTGATGTCCCAAGAAAAAATTTGATGAGATTTAGCAGTTTAAGCATAAAAACAAGAAAATTGTATCTATTGATATTAATTTCAATTTGATGTTATTAATCGTAAGCGAAATTAGCAGATTAATCTTAAAACGCTAATATCTGTCAGTTTTTTTCTTGTTTTATTCCATTTTAGATTAAATTAATTTATTTGGCATAGATTATGGTATTTCTTATTTCAATAAGTCGATTTGATTCATTTTATCAAAGCATTTCTTTCCGTGTACAGGCAACTCATTGGATACTTTGGAAGCGTTAAAAATTGAAGTAAAAAGATGCGAGGAATTTAGAAAAGCCAAGATAAAAAATTTTGTGGACAAATTGAGAGACCAACTCCAGACTATTTGGACAACATCTCAGAGTTTCAGGTATCTTTATAATGATTTTTATACAGAGGATTTGCTTGACCTGCATGAATTGGAAATTCAGAAATGGAAGAAATATTACGAAGATAACGGCAAACTTTTGGATATAATAAAGAAGCACCAGGAATTGTGGGATAAGGTGATACAATTGCCTATTTTGTTTGTGTGTGTTTTTTTTTTTTTCAAAAATATTTTTTTTAGATGATACAATTTGAAGAAAATGCAACCGGAGTAAATAGATTTAAAAATAGAGGTGGTCAATTGCTGCAAGAAGAAAAAGAACGCAATAAACTCTCTAAAGTAATACCTCAACTGGAAGAACAAATGTTGAATCTGTCTGGAGCGTTTTTGGTTAAGAACGGTGTAGTTTTCAAGACTTTTGGTAGCACTGTCGAGGAATATATCCAAAATTTGCACGAGTCCCGTGAAAACGTACATAGATTCTATTTTGTAATAATATTTTCTAATCGATTTTTTTTAGGACCGTAAAACTAAGCTGAGCGCTCGGAAATTGCAACGTTGTGAAACAACTCTTCGCACTCCAGGTAAATCTTGTATGAGCCTATTTCCACCATCCACCAGTAAGTGTACTACAGTTACCCCAAAAACGATTGCGTCCGCTTCCAAAAAGAAGATATTTGCCACGCCTACTACGGAGAATACTGCAAAGAGGCCTAAGGCAACACCTGCGACTGTTGGTTCGAAAACGAGTAAGTAGAATTATTGATTGTAGATGTTTCTGCATAGATAATATTTAAGTTGCTACAAGGGGATACAATATATGGCATGGGCCAGCATATTGTCTATAATACAGTTTTTCTTATAGAAATTTTTTCAGTCCATGAATTTGCTTACAACTGAATAATTTGTTCCTTTTTATCATAGAAGGCACGCCAAGAGTGATTCCCAAAATCAAGGTTACACATCATACTATGTCACTGCCCAAACAGCGCAGGTCACGTTCATTCCAGGAAACGGAAACAGAAACGGAAACGGGCCCTCAGGCAAAGTAGGGGTGCTCAAAATGAAAATGTGGTTCCTGATCCAAATGAAACTAAGGATACAACATACCACGACTTTCAGGTGAAATTTTAGACTTTCCTGAAATAATTTCCGTACAAAATTTAATATTGAAAAAATCCATATTTTATACAGTGCTTTTTGGCTTATTTTCGTAATATAATAATGTGCAAAACAATCTACAGAATTTGATCGTGTCTATATTTTTCATTAGGTACCGATATTTCGTTTATCATATGTGCACTTATCCGAGTTCAAAAATAATACATTTTCGGCCTAAGAGTAGACAAATAGACTCACTATCCGAGCTGGGATCGTTACTTGAAAAAAGTTACGCGTTACTTTACAGTTACTTTCGAATAATGATAACTTTATTTTCGTTACTTATTGGCAAGTAACGCATTACTGTAACTTCTTTACTTTAGAAGTAGTTCGTTATTTGAAAGTTACCTGTTACCTCAACGCGTTAGTTTGTCCACAACGCGCTTGCGCTTCAAATAAGTGGGGTTATGTTGGCTGTTTGTTTTGCGGTCCAAAAGGCATAGCAAGTATTATAAAAAAGTTGTAATTAATACCTTTTCCAATTTAAAATGGCCCAAATGTCTTTTAAAAACGTTAAATTATCAGCAGCAGATGTGTCGGATGCAATTTTTCGTAATGATATTGTAGAGAAAAACAGCGTACCTATTGGAACTTAAAAGGAATTTACGTTAAAGACATGGCCAGGGAAAGCGGTAAAAAATTAATCCCTCGGAATATCCGAGTCTTCCAACTCTGCTGTCACTATTACACTTTCCAAAAACACAATATTTGTGTGCCCCGTCGCTTTTACTAATTAGGCCAGTGCAAATAATTTTGAATTTGCAAAAATTTTTATAAAGCTGCAACTATCAAAAATAGTTAGCGTTAGTACTCCTAGTAAACATTATACCAAAAGTCCCCATTCGTCCGGTTGTTGCGTCATTAGAAAAAACGGTGATATAGTATTTTTAATACCCATTTAGAATAACCCCATTCTTATTTATCAATCACGAATCAGATGAAACAAAAAATTACCAACAAAAACGAACGTCGATTTCTGATACGTCAATTTCATGTACACCTAAGAAATTCCTAACCTAATTTTATTTGTGCGTTCAAGATGCGACGTACGTTTTGTCACTAGAACGACTGGTACTTCTAAATAGGTATTAAAAATTCTATAGATCACTTTAGGTCCCTTTGATTTTCAATATGATTTTGATTATTACTGATAAACAAAGCAATTTCAAGATGGTTAGTGAGAAAAAAAATATGGATCCTTGAATATTTATCAAGGTATGATTTTTTTAATTTAATTTTTTTCTTTGTTGATTGTGCATCTTTGATAGGTATAGCGATATTAAGCTGATAAGAATAGATATTATTTATTGATCTGTGTCAAAGGTTGAGAAGCGAGAGGATATAAGGCATTAGTGACTAGTGATTTTTTACAATTATTATTATTTTGTTTACTTTAATAGATTTCTATTTTATGGCAAAATCAGCATACCACCTTGGTAAATATTTACAATATTTAATGTTTATGGAAAGGGTTTTTTGAGGTTTTTTACTGGTTGTATTGATTTTTTACTGGTTTTTTACTGACATTTCAAAAATTCCTACCTAATTTGTGATTAGTTTCCTTATTTAACTTAGTAGTTGTCTATTAATGACCTGACGGTGCAATCTTTGCATTGAAGTAAATGGTCAACATTTTGAACAATTATTGTAAACCATAATTAATCTGTTAATTTTGTCGGTATCTTTCTAGGACACCCTGTATATTTAAATAATATATTGTTTATCAAAAAAATGAACTCATCCATATTTTTTTTTTCTTCATTATGTCCTAATAATTGCTCCAATGCAAATTTGAACATAGAAAAATTGTCCGTTTTTAGGGACCTAATGTGTTCTAGACCCGAAAAAACAATCCGCCATCTTGAATTTCGGCACTTATCGGTAAAAATCGTGAATAAGTCAAAAACGGTACATTCTATCGAAAAAACTCAAGAGAGGAAAATTGAATAGAATGAAAAAATGAATGTGGTATCAAGAAACTGAATGCGTACCATAACGTAGTAACAATTTAGAATTTTTTGAATTTTTGGAAAATTAGCAAAATCAAGGGAACCAGACCATAATGCGGTTAATGCGTTTTTTCAATCCCAATAAACAAATAAAATTACCTTCTAACATTAATTTAAATAAAAAAACACTGTAAAAATGTTACCTATATATTACCTAATTTAATTCAACTACCCTCGTATGAACTAATAATGAGTAATCGCAGATTCAATACAATAATACTATTCAACATCATTATTACAGCGATTATACAACTCACTGTAGATTATTCCCATATGACACGAGAGGCTTAAGAAGTGATAAGCCTTTTGGGATTATCGCGCTTGGTGGCAATATTGTTCATTTGCTATTAATAATAATGAAAATTAATAAAGTATGGGAGTTTAGTTCGTTGTATAACCTTCTGAATACCACTCGATGTTTCAGGATTACCTAATACTTTTACCTGACACTCAAGGCGTTACCAGCAACACCACTCCTCCTTCGTAGTCGTGGTGTTGCGGCATAACGCGTTCCGTAACAGGTAAAAGTATTATCCGGTAATCCTGAAACCTCTTGTGGCATCACATTTGACAACAAATTCAGTATTCACCTGACAATATTGCTACCTGGACAATACCAACAACATGTAGTCCAGGAGGTGGCGCCAAAAACATGCAAGAGTTTTCGCAAGGCGGATATTTTCAAAATAGGTCGTACTTTAGTGCTAGAATGCTAGTGTACAGTCAACACTCACAGTTCCGGGACAGCTGGCTCTGGGACGCGGGCAAAGTTGTAATTTTAAGAATCATCTAAACTGTTTTCTCAAAGCTCAAAATTTATAGAAATTTTGCACATTATCAGTTTGAAGGTCACAGATAACGTATGTAAATCGTCAGACGTCTAGTTCGTTGCAAAAAGGGGGTCAGACGTCCTCAAAGTTTTTATTTTATGGCATTTTCTTCAAATATATTTGTCAAATACCTGCAAAAATATATTTTGACAGGACACCGAAGAAAATGCCATAAAATAAAAACTTTGAGGACGTCTGACCCCCTTTTTGCAACGAACTAGGCGTCTGACGATTTACATACGTTATCTGTAACCTTCAAACAGATAATGTGCAAAATTTCTCTAAATTTTGAGCTTTGAGAAAACAGTTTAGATGCTTCGTAAAATTACAACTTTGCTCGCGTCCCAGAGCCAGCTGTCCCGGAACTGTGAGTGCTGACTGTACACTAGCATTCTAACACTAAATTACGACCTATTTTGAAAATATCCGCCTTGCGAAAACTCTTGCATGTTTTTGACGCCAGCTCCCCAACTATTGGAGGTCAGAGACCATTTTTTGACATTGTCAAACTGATATTTTTAATTTGAAGTTCTTATTCATATTTTTGCATTCTATTTGTTTTCAAAATTTTACGTGAAATAGTCATGACCAATACCACTCGAGAAAAAATTGTGTAGGCAAAATTGTTCCCAAGGTTTTATTCAAATTTGTTGCTTTTCTGCAATTTCGCTCGTGACATTTTTGTTAAATCACTCGCCCGACGGCTCGTGATTTTGGGGAAATATTGGAAAAACCTATTTAAAAATTTAGGCCAGTGCAGTTATGAAATTCACAATGTTGAAAATGCAAATTTTTTTATAAAGCTGCGACTATCAAAAATAAGTAGCCCTAGTACCCCTTATTAACATGCTAAAAGTCCCCATGCCTCCGACTGTTGCGTCACCAAAAAAAGTCGTCCGCCATCTTGAATTTCAGCACTGTTTGGGAAAAACCGCGAATAACTCGAAAACGGTACATTTTTTTGAAAAAAATGGGGACATGAAAATTGAAGAGAATTTTTGACAAAATCACTCGCCCGACGGCTCGTGATTTTGTCAAAAATGTCATTCGCGAAATTGCCAACCATTAAACTTTCATACCTTTCGAAAATTTTGCCGACAAATTTTTTTCTCTTGTGATATTATATATAAAAAAAATTTGCCCTAACTTTTCCAGCGACAAAACTGAACCTAGCTTG